TAAAAAGATATCATTAAAAACTCTTAAAAGCGCTGATTCGGTGCTGTGCAGGGGTTTAAAACCGGATTGGAAAACCTCGAGAATATTGTGCTCTTCTAAAAAAGGTACACAAGGTACAACGAAATTAAAAGACAACTCCAGTGGTGCAGAAGTATAAAAGTAAAAGTATAAAAAGACAAATAAGAATATATACATGTATTTACAAAAGGATCCAGTAGGAAGTATGTACAGGTAGCCAAACGGTAGAATAAATATATTGCACTGTTGGGGTAGGAACACTGAGGATATGTGAGAAATATAAATAAAAAATTATTATAAGTAATAAAATATATACAAAATACAGTATCATATATGATAATTAAAATGTTATTATATTATAATCGTATAGTATAGCATAGCATAGCATAATATAATATAAATAATAAATATATGTGATAAATAGTACAGACTATAGACAAATGTGCATTTAGTACCTGTCATGGCTTTGTCAATGCTCCTGACCCACATGCAGAGAGACACTCAGGAGAAGAGGGTTTGAAATAAAGGTTTTATTCACAGAGAACAAGGAATGTGTGAAGAGGGTAATCCGGCTGGGACGTCGACGAGGGTCTGGTGGGTGGCTGGGCGGGCAGGCCGTGCGGTGGTCAGTGCAGTGGGGGGTGAAAAGTAGAGGCGTACCGGTTGTGAGCAGGGTTGTCCAAAGAGCAGCGGCGATAGCCTCAGGTTGGTACAGGCTGGTCGCGGATGAGCACTAGCTGGGAGCAGGAACTCGGGGAAAAAACCTTTGGAGAGGAAAAAAAGTTGGTTATAAGTATGCACAGGTAGGAAACACACTAAGTACTTCGAGGAGGCTTGAGGTGTACCACTATGGTTACCACTCAGGCAGTGAGTGAACGGTGACTGCTCCTTTTGTCCTGGAGTGACGAGCCTCACGAGCTGCAGGTGTGTAGAGAACACACCTGCAGGGAATGAACCCCAGAGCAGCACAAGATCCCTTAGGGCGCCCTCTGGTGGATGACCTGCCGGAGAAAACAAACAGCCCAGAGACCCCGTTCCCTGACAGTACCCGTATTGCACATGGGTAGAAAGTGTTGGTGAGTCTGGATGTGTGGGTCTTGATGGACCAGTACCTCTTTCCTGAGGACAGCAGTGAGAACAGGCTGTGCCCGGGGTGTGAACCATCGAAGGTGATGCTTCTGGCCCTGCGCAGACATCTGGTGTCATAGATGTCTGACAGAGTGGACAGCTGTGTTCTGATGATGCTCTGTGCTGACTTCCTGACTCTCTCCAGAGCCTTCTTGTCAGCCTGGGAGCAGCTCCTGCATCACACCAAGATGTTGTGGGTAAGGATGCTCTCAACGGAACACCTGTAGAAGGACAGCAGCAGCTCTTGGGACATGTTGACCTTTCTCAGTGACCTATAATAGTACAGAGGCTGCTGTGCCTTTTTTTTTTTTTTTTTTTTTTTTACCAGGGCATTGGTGTTGGTGCCTCATGTAAGGTCCTGAGAAATGTATGTTCCCAGGAACTTGGAAGTCACTGACCCTCTCTACAGTGTCCCCCTGGATGAGAAGAGAGTTGGTGCTTTAGTCCAGCACCAACTCCTTTGTCTTTGAGGAGTTGAGTGCCAGGTTATTGAGGGAATACCAGGTAGTGAGGACCTCCTCTCTGTAGGCCGTCTCATCGCTGTTGTGAATCAGCCCAACCACAGTAGTGTCATCCGCAAATTTGACAAAGATGTTGCTGCTGTGGTTTGGTGTACAGTGGTGGATGTACAAGGTGTACAGCATGGGGCTGAGCACACAGCCCTGAGGGGTCCCAGTGCTCACTGTAAGCACTGAGGAGTGGTGGGGCCCCAACCTGACTGACTGCAGACGGTTGGTGAGAAAGTCTCTGATCCATCTGCAGGAGTGCTCGCCGATGCCCAGACTGCGCAGTTTGAACAACGGTCTGCTTGGAACAAGTGTGTTAAAAGCAGAACTGAAGTCCACAAACAACATCCTCGCATAATTGTCAGATTGTTCAAGATGTTGACACACTGTGTGGAGGGCTGTGTTGATGGCATCACCTGTGGACCTGTTGGCTCTGTATGCAAATTGGTGCTGATCAAGGCTGGGAGGCAGTAAGGATTTTATGTGCCTCAGCACCAGTCTCTCAAAGCACTTCATCACAGTTGAAGTGAGAGCCACAGGTCTGTAATCATTCAGACTGCTGACTGATTGTCTCTTGGGGATGGGCACGATAGTGGCAGATTTTAGGAAGCTAGGGACTGTGCAGGCAGCCAGTGAGAGGTTAAAAATGGTAGTGAAGACCTCTGCCAGCTGGTATGCATAGCCCTTCGGTACCATCCTCTGGACACCATCGGGACCAGCAGCCTTCGACGGGTTCACACCCTGGAGCACCTTCCTGACCTCCTCCATGCTCACAGTAAGGGCCAGGTTGTCAGCAGGGGGCACCCTCTTCCTCGCTTACTTCAAACATGGCAAAGAACTGATTTAGCTCCTCTGCTAAACTTGTGCTGGTGCTGGTGGTGGCAGCAGTGGAAGTGTTCATGTTAACGAGGTCACGGTTGCCCTGCCAAACACATCGGGGATTCCCCTCTGCGAAGTGTCCCTCAATCTACTTGACGTATGCTGCCTTAGCCCACTCAATGCCTCTTTTGAGGTTGGATCTGGCTGAGCTGTACAGTTCATGTTCCCAGACCTGAAAGCAGAGTCCCGATCCCTCAGCAGCAGTTTGACCTCACTGTTCAGCCACTGTTTTTTATTTGGATCATGTCTGTGTGTTGTTTTTTCTGGTGGGGCAGTTATCAAACTGATGAAATGTTGGGAGAGTGGAGTCCAAGGTGACATGATTGAAATCACCAGAGATAGCAATGAAAGCCTCTGGGTGTTGTGTTTGCAGTGTTGCGAAAGTGGAGTGGATGACGTCACACGCTGTCTCTGCGTCGGCCCTCGGAGGAATGTAAACACAAAGAACAATGGCATGGGAGAACTCTCTGGGCATGTAGTGTGGTCTGAGACTCACTGCAAGCAGCTCAGTGTCCCGACAGCACACCGTCACTTTAACAGTAACATGTCCTGGGTTGCACCATCCATTAACATTGCTAGTCCCCTACCTTTGCGTTTGCGGGTTAGCTCAGCGCCCCTGTCCGCTCGTACAGTAGTGACTCCAGGCAAATCCACATTAGCATCCAGAGTGATGCCAGTTAGCCACATCTCTGTGAAACACATCCGGCTACACTCATTGCAGATTTTGTGGTTTCTCATGAGGGCCGCCAGCTTGTGGGTCTTGTTGGTCAGTGCGTTTACATTCCCGATGACGACGGATGAAATAAACGGCTTGTACCTCCACCTTCGCTGACTCCCTAGCCTTTAGCTTAGCGCGGCTCTGCAGCCCCGGTACGGCCGTCTCAGCTCCTCCAGTAGAGAGCAAACGTTGCTGACTTTCCCCACTGTCCGCAGAGAGAGCAGCTGTTGCCCTGAATAAACAAGGTTTTCCTTTTATCTTGAGTTGTAGAAAGCAACATATCCATAGAATATAAGATCAGCCCAGTGTGTGCAATAGAAAAAGTTTAGAAAGTAAATGAAAAGTAGAAAAATGACAAAGTAAACAAGTTTAAATACGGAGCAACTGGTAAGGCTGCCGCTCGCGTCAGCGCTGGAAGTTTTGAGTCCAAATGACCAGAAATATAAAGACAAACACTTGAGTTTTTCCCCAGACCTTTCAGAGACTCATTGGAGATTCAATTCACTTAATGGATGTTGAACCCCAGCCTGTATGGAGCTGAGTCCTGTGTGCCTGCAGGAGGATCTACCTGTACTCTGTCACACTATTCAGTAGATGAGAATTGCACATATCCACTTGCTTTGAGATCAAATAGATGGTTTGGTTTGGAAAACACTGACAATGGAAAGACCCAGGTCTGACTTTTTTTTTTTTTATTACACATGTGCACTCAATTTGTATGTTTTTTGTATTTGTTTATTGTTTTTATTGAATGTATGATTTGGTTGCCATTAGGTTTACAACCTAATAGGACCCAAAGCAATCCAACCTTTTATAGTTGCTCTGTTTGTGTATAATTCGTGACTGTTATCCATTTTCTTGAATCCTGAAATCCTTTGTTTTTTTGGCATATAAATTGGCAAGCCAGCCAGAAACCTTGAATTATAGGATGAGAGGAATGCAGTGTCTTCCATCCATCCATTATCATCTATACACTGCCTAATGGGCAGCTGTGGTAGAGCGATTGTCCTCTGATTGAAAAGTTGGTGGTTCGATTCCCTGCCCCTCCACTCCACAGTCGAAGTGTCCTTGGGCAAGACACTGAACCCGAAGTTGCTCCCAATGGCAGGCAGCACCTTGCACTCAACTAACATTTCCTCCTATCCTAATCTTGCCTATTTGGACAGTGGCCAGAGCTCACAAGCTTGTAACCATAGACCAAAGACACCTCTGACCCTAGGTCCTATTAACCTTATGCAGAGGTGCAGCGAATAGTGGTAGACCCCGTAGTTAAGGGTGAAGATAAAATTTCACATGTACTGAACGTCCTACTGCTCTATATTAGGATGGACCAATTAGAGTCACTGCATATACTGTAAAGTGAGTCACAACAAAGGAATTTGCCTTTATGGAAGCCCTTTTACCTTCATAACTGACAGAAGCCCTCTGGCATGCTCTGTCTACTGCTAAGATGAGTGCCGTGAGTTATCACTGGCAGCAGCTCTCTCTACATTCACAACAACAACAACTTATACTTGGACGGCATTTACCCAAGCACATTTAACAGATGAAGGACAGATCTCAATCCGGATGTAGTGCAGTGTGATGAAAACATAGAAGAGGAAGATGCCCTTAGCATGGTGCACTCGTCAGCTATTTGTGCAACTGCCTTGCCAGACGATTGTGTGAATGAAAACCAAGGTGGTGGCCTGCCAGTTGTTCCTCGCATTTTTGTACAGCAACAGAGAGCATCAATGAGCCGACCCTTGCCTGAGGGCATTCATAACCTACCTCAAAACCAGGAACAGATGCAAAGTTTTTAGAAATCTGGTTCCCAGACCCCTCTCCCTTTTCATGGCTGCAGCTATGTAACTAGATGTGTAAAAGCTTGGGCCAGTCCTTGCTTTTGCTTCACTTTTTAGGAACTCAGGCAAAACTCCCTATATTTCAAGCCAAACGCCATTAATTTCTCCTGCAAATAGAGGGGCAGTTTTTCATCCACTGGTCTAATTCCTTTTGCTGTATCGAGGTATATCAACCCAGATACATACCCATCTTCCTTTGCTGCTTCAAGCTCAAACAGGTCACCAAGTTTGCATAGTTTAGGGCTCTCTCAGTGAAGGGCTCTGTTTTTGGAAAAAGTGCTCTGGCTTGCCTCTTGCCTCTAGCCAATGCACTTGCCAGATGCAAGCTCCTACCTAAAATGTTACAAATACTTCCTGTCTGAATGACACTTGATAACATAAAAGCCTACATTTCACATTAAAAGACCTTGCCCCTTTATAGAAAAGTTTCACCATACAGACCACTCATGGGATCATTGCATCGTTCATTTTGGAATCCGCATGCTTGGAGAGTGACTAAGGACCCAACTTTAAGTTGCATATTACCAAAGAGCTATACAAGATCACAATATCCACAACATTTATTCAGTTCCATACCACCCTAAAGTCTGTGAAAATGTTTTGAAAGAGCTTTGTTGAAAATACTTGGAACTTTGGAAGATAAGGACAAATCACACTGGCAAAACTTTGTGAAACTGTTTGTCCTTATGTAAGTCAATGAAAAATGATGTAACTGGCTTTACACCATTTAACATTTAGTTGTCTGTTCAGATCACCTGTTGACGTAACATTTGGATTGCCTTTCAAAGATGATGGCTACAAGTCACATTCACAGTATGTGTGGAGTTTGAAGTCACATCTGGAAGAATTGCAAAGACTGATACTTACTATTGGTAGCTCAATTATCTTTATGAACATCACATACTGGTTACATTAATAATGGTTTTTCTAAAAGAGTTATTGCTCACATACTTGTATATGTGTACTTTGTATCCATGCAGAAAACAGAGTATCATCTTTATGAACAGAAAACATAGTGAGGAAGTTTCAGTACTATTAATGTTGACATGACCGCAGAGAAAATGGCAGCAAATGAGCAACATTGTAAACAATTTTCCAGCCTGACAAGTTTCTCTTCACAAGTTTCCTTTGTTGTTGTGGTAATCTAAATTGCTGCTGACATCCTCCCTCTGCCCCCATGGGTCATGTCCTGAATTGCATGTTGTGGACACATAGGGCTATTTCTGAGGATGCGCAAGATGGTAGCCTTTGGAGGACTGGCCAACCGTCCTTAGTCCAAAGGTGTAAAACTTGATAAACTTGACTTAAATCCATCCTCAGAAAGATAGATACAACCAGAAATACAGACATGCACACACATCAAACGTTAACCCTTGTGTTTACCTCTCTGTGCAGGATCTTCAGGGTCTCGAACACGGCATCTATGTTGACCACTCCAACTTCATCCATGTTGAGAACGTTTATGAAAGCATCCTTCTGCGAACCCTGGACAGGGAGGTCACCAAAGGTACAAAAAGAGTAGCAGCAGTGAGCATCTGAAGAAAATGCATGTGATTGCTGAAAGTTGACAAACGTCAATGAATTAAGCAGAATATGCTATGTCACCCACGCCAAAGACGTCAAAATTCGATTGAAAGTGAATGGATTGTTCAAAATTTGTAGAAGTGAAAATTCATTTGTCACCACACCCATAAGTCTCACCACATGGCGGCGCTGTTACTATCAGTTTTGGATATGAAAAGCACTGGCCTATGGAAGAAGGGCTGTACAAAGATTCAGTGTTACAGCGTAATAGGTTTTGCAATTTGATTTTTTTTTTTACTTTAGAAAAATCCTATATACCATTATTCAAAATAGAAAATTATTTAAAAAATCATTTACAATATGATGGACAGCAGATAGCAGCACCAAAAGTCATAGCACACTATTCCTAAAAAATTTTGTCTTTTGAACAATGTTTCTAAAACATACAAGATAAGAAAAATATGATAAGTACACAACAAATAAGCATAAATATAATAAATAGACAGTAGAACAATAGTGGGACTGCTAAAAACGCTCACACTATTAATATATAAAAATAAAGCGCCTGCTAAATGAAATTGTATATTGTAGATATATGATAAGACCTAAGCAGCACAAACACTCTCATTTCACAGGGACAAAGAGTCACATTTCACCCTTCATGTTTTCTTTCCATCCTGCAGTGGTGAAGGAGGCTGCAACCCTGAAGAAGTACAACCTGTTCACTGACAGCAGAGACCTGGTCAGTCAGTCCAGTCGCTCCAGCCTCTTCACCCCTTCAGTGTCTACCCCTGGAAGCCCCTCCATGGTGCTGGCCTCCCCTGCTAAAACCTCCTGTGAGGCCGAGCCTCAATCTCCTCTTGTTGTTAATGGTCTGTCCACCAGTCCTCTAAAAGAAGAACTACAGGAGAAAGAAAATGATGTGCAGCAGATAAAAGACTCAATGAATGTGACAGGGTTCGAGACACCACTGGGTAAAACTGAACAAGGCGACACAACTCCCACTGTAGCTAGTAGTCAGGAGGAGTTACCAGCTCCCAAAGTAGACGATGTCACTGTGAGGGCTGAGGCAGGCAACACTGAAACACTTGAAAACCCAGCTGCAGTAACAGCCACAGCAGCTCCAGAGATTGTGATCCTGGATGAAGCGATATCTGCCCAAACAGAAGAAGCTGAGATGGGCACTGAGCTGGAAATGCAGAGCACAGATATTCTCCAAGAAGCACAAAGTATAAAAACAGATGCAGCATCAACAACACAAACAGAAACTTCTGATCCAAGAAATGAACCTGCGTGCCTTTCAGCAGACGAACCTGAACCCCAACCTGTAGCCAGTACTGAAGAAAAGACACAGTGTGAGAGCTCTGAAGTCAAATCAGAGGTTCCCTCCGGTGGTGAAGTGCCTGAATATGCCAGTCTCAAGCTGAAAAGAGAGGAAGAAAAACCAATTACTGTCTCAGACCCCAATTGTCTTGATGTGTCAGCAGGAAGTGAGTCACTACCCTCTGACCTGGAGTCCACAGATGAAGTCTCAACAACCTCTGACATCTTGGAGGATGAGGCTAACACTAGCAAATCACCCACAAGCTCAGATGATGCTGCTGAAGACAGAACCATAGCTGACGAACCATCACCTCTGGCCCAAATGAAGAACGTAAGCAGCAATGTTGAAGGGGACATCGAACCAGGAGCCAACTTAAATGGGGAGACTTCAGCAGCAGACACTCCATCCTCCTCATCTGCTGAACCCACTAAAGAGGAAATGCCCTCAAGTCCTGAAGTCCGGCCTCTGGACTGCATCAAGGAGATCCGTGACTTAGTGGTGGAAGTGATTGAGGTGGAGGAGCTGGTGCAGCATTACCCCAGTGGAGTTCCAAAGGAAGAATAAAGCTTCATGTAAGAGCAGCATTCGATGACATGTGGGTCAACTGTTCTGTGAATTATTACCAGAATATAGCAGTAGCTTCCATTTCTGACAAAAATGTCCTTCTACACTGTTTTAACTTAAGCAGCGCAAAATGAGAAAAACACTCTTGACATACTGGAGGCTTTGTGGCCTTTGTTAAACAAATATTCAAGAAATTATGGTAAATTGTTTATACACATCAATATTATTTACACAAAGAACGCATAATGAGGTATCCAGGTGTAGAAAAATCAACGTGTTTGCTCCTTTCAGTGCTTTGGCAACACTGCATTTATTTTAGCACCTAATTGTTTTAGAGAACCCTGATTTAGAAATAGAATTAGTGAAGAAATGAATGGAAATTGCATTGTATGGTTGTGGTTAGGTATGAATCTATTTTAATGGAGGAAATTTTGGGATGATTATTTGCTTTCTCTCTGAGAGGTCGGTGTTTATTTGGAAATCAATTTCACATCTGTTTTTGAATTGGAACAGAGGGAATTAGCCTTGCAGTCCAATCAGTCCTTTTTTTTGTACCAGAGTAAATGCTGCAGTGTCTTCCCCAATTATTAGCAACACTGTGGTACCACAAGAGTGTTATTTCACCGGCCTTATTTACCCTTTATACAAATGAATGTAGAGTTACCTTGTCTGATGCTTTTAATGTTAAATTTACTACTGATACAATACTTGCCGATTTGATCACAGAGGATGAAACAAAGTAACATTGTGGATGACTTTGTTCATTGGTGTCGTCTTATTTTCAGTCCAGCACTAAGAAAACTAAGGAAGAGACCTTTGATTTCAGAGTGAGCAGGAAGACACACCAATAAGTAGGCAGTAATAGTGACTGGTAATTCTTACTAATCACATTAAAATTGTACTTAAACAGAAACCAATAGAAAAGTTAGCCGTTTTAAAGGGAGCTACATGCACTTCAGCCAAACTTTAGTTAAATGGATCAGTGTCAGTTGACATGAATCTGATCACAAAGCAAACCTTCCTCACTGTGTTGCAGGGCTGCCCTCCTTTACAACAGCCCACCAAACAAGCCTTTTGTTGCACATCGAAATCCAGCCATCATCTATACGCCACTTAATCCTCACTAGGGTCAGGGGCCGGAGCCTAGCTCAGCCAAATCAGTGTGAAGGCAGGGGACACCCTGGACAGGTAACCAGTCTACCACAGGGCGCATATCTAAATAAAATTAGAAAAATTATCTGAGCACAGCGGTGCAACTTACTTTAGTTCAGACGCAGAGCTTTGTGGAATATACTCATTTGGTCCAGTGATGTCCAGCAGAGCTATTACTACTCCTCTTTCTGTTATTAGCAAATAACAGTGTCCAAGCCATTCTGGCAGTTTCTTCTTATTTTTAGCTAGCTATTTGTCGTTTTCAAAAGTGAAGATGACAAACACTGCTCGTAACCTGTTCTGAATTCTGAAGAATTTGATGGCAGGCCAAATGTCTCTGCTGTCTGCTTTAAGTACATTTTGCAGCCAGTTTTGTTCCCTGGCTTAAGACTGATTGCGAGGGAAGATGCTCTACCTCTAGTTGTCTATTTGTCCAAAAACTCCATCCAAAGAAAAATTAAATAATAATTTAAAGAGCCACGTTGTCCAGTTAAACTTTAATTCAGGTCATTATAATGACATAAGTTGTTCACCTGAAACGTTTTGAACTTCCTGTGGATCAATAAGTATTTGAAAAATATGATTATATAGTGAATAGTAGGTGTAATATTTGGACACACCTACTATTCAGTGTTTCAAATACATACTGAATCAGCAGTCAATCAAGTACTGGGTTAAGAAATAAAACTTGACTGTGATATCCCTAGTTTGAGCAATTCTTACTCTTTGCATATAAACAGGTGGAAGTAGAATTGTTATAATCAAGAAATAGTTCTAGCACATAGCTCCTGCTAAAACCATGCAATGTTGTTTTAAAACTTCTCGTTTGTGTAGAGATTGAACAAATGACACACAGTATGTTAATTTGTAAGCTTTACAGGCACTGGTAGGAGTACTTATTTTTAAACTTTGGACTGAAGCAGGCTAACAGTGTCTTCCCATGTCCAGTCTTCATGCTATCTTTGTCCTCATTCCAGCTCCGTCCATGACACACAGACATATCTCATTCTCAGGAAAAAAGCAAATAACCATTTTTCACAAAATGACAAGATAATTTGTTAAATAGTAAAGCCACAAATGAAATTTGAATCAATTTTGAAATCATCAGGGGTTGGGATTGTTTAAAAATCACTACATCTTCCAGATGCATGAACTGGATCAGTGACTGCCAGATTCATTAGTAAAGCTGTACCTCAGGCATTAGTTCTTCTTAATTTGAGAATTAACCAAGTGAAGGATTTTTAGCTTATAAAAAAACAAAATGAAGAAGCAGCTCATTGAAGTGCCCTTGCAGTGCTTTCATGTTACCGCCACGTGCCTTAGATCTCATGATGGAGCCCAGCCTCCATCATGTGGCTGCTGAAGAGACTTGTCTGTGAATAGCTGAATCCACTCCACCAAGTGCCTGTTACCTGTGTACGGTATCTTTCACAGACATGATTAGTAGGACAGAGTGTAGAGGGGGACATTTGATCCCAAACCGTCTACCAGGTCCATGTTGCTTAATGGAAAGAGTGTGGAAATAGTAATAATAATAAAATAAGTCTGTAAACAAACATGCCCTCGAACAGTTTCTGTGTGAACCTTTCATTCTCCGGTTTCAATGTTTGAAAAACAAAACAAACAATAAACACTTTTATAAAGTTGTATCTATCTATCTATTTTGATTATCTATTTATCTTCCCCAAAGTCTTTTTAACTAATCACAGACACACTGCACTGAGAAATAGGAAAAACCTGCAAGTAATCCTGCATCTGTGGCAGATTAATTGCTAAACACAGTTTGACTGCAATATTTCTTCCATTTATTTCACATTGGGTTTCATCTTCCTGTAGCACACCAGGAACATCAGGAAAAAGATTAGAACTGCAGCAGATTCTTTTTCATTTGTTCATATTTAAGTCCCAGTTTTCAAGATGGGACAGTACAGGCAGTTAACATGTCCTGCTAGATTGCATTTATATGATTAAGATACAGTTAGGTCCATAAATATGTGGACAGAGAAAGTTTTTCTAATTTTGGTTCTGTACTGTACCACAATAAATTTTAAATGAAACAATTCAGATGTGGTTGAAGTGCAGACTTTCAGCTTTAATTCAGTGGGTTGAACAACAAGATTGCATAAAAATGTGAGGAACTTCTTGTAGGGGCTCAAAAGTAATTGGACAAATTAAATAACTGAAAATAAAATGTTTATTTCTAGTACTTCGTTAAAAACTCTTTGCTGGCAATCACTGCCTGAGGTCTTGAATGCATGGACATCACCAGACGCTGGGTTTGCTCCTTTTTAATGCTCTGACAGGCCTTTACTGCAGCAGTTTTCAGTTGCTGTTTGTGGACCTTTCTTTCTGAAGTTTAGTCTTTAACAGGTGAAATGCATGCTCAATTCGCTTGAGATCAGCCATTCAAGAATATTACACTTCTTTGTTTTAATAAAGTCCTGGGTTGCTTTGGCTGTATGTTTTGGGTCACTGTCCATCTGTATTATGAAACGCCGCCCAATCAATTTGGCTGTAGTTGAGCCAACAGTACGTCTCTGAACACCTTAGAATTTATCCGGCTGGTTCTGTCCTGTGTTACATCATCAATAAACACCACTGACCCAGTGCCACTGGCACCCATGCATGCCCAAGCCATCACACTGCCTCCGCCATGTTTTAAAGATGATGCGGTATGCTTTGTATCATGTGCTGTACCATTCCTTCTCCATACTGTCTTCTTGCCATCATTCTGGTAGAGGTGGATCTTGGTTTCATCTGTCCAAGGAATGTTCTTCCAGAACTGTGCTGGCTTTTTTAGACGTTTTTTTTAGCAAAGTTCAATCTAACCTTTCTATTCTTGAGGCTTATAAGTGGCTTGCACCGTGCAGTGAGCCCTCTGTACTTACTCTCATGCAGTCTTCTCTTTCTGGTAGACTTGGACAATGACACGCCTACCTCCTGGAGAGTGTTTCTAACTTGTTTGGTTGTTGTGAAGGGGTTTCTCTTCACCATGGAAATGATTCTGCAATCATCTACCACTGTTGTCTTCTGTGGATGTCCAGGTCTTTTTCCATTGCCAGGTTCGCCAGTGCTTTCTTTCTTTCTGTCTCAGGATGTACCAAACTGTTGATTTTGCCACTTCCAATATTGCAGCAGTTTCGCAGATGGGTTTTTTTCTGTTTTTTCGCAGCTTAAGGATGGCTTGTTTCACCTGTGTGGAGAGCTCCTTTCAGCACATGTTGTCTTCACAGCAAAATCTTCCAAATGCAAGCACCACACCTTAAATCAACTCCAGGCCTTTTATATGTTTAATTGGTAATGACATAACGGAGGAATTGCCCACACCTGCCTATGAAATGGACTTTGAGTCAATTGACCAATTATTTTTGGTCCCTTTTCAAATAGGATGGCACATGTTAAGAAGCTGAAACTCCTAAACTTTTCATCCAATTTGAACGTGGATACCTTCAAATGAAAGCTGAGAGTCTGCACTTTATGTACATGGCCATTATATAACTATAACTAGAATGTTTCATTAAACAGGTAAAAAAAAAAAAAAAAAACTTGTGTCAGTGTCAAAATATATATGGACCTAATTGTAAATGACAACTTAATCCAGCAGCAAGATTTTATAGTCTACTGGAGCTCTGCCAGTAAGGGACAAAATTTGTACAAAGGTAGGACAAGAAAATGACTTCACTCCTCACATGCTGTTTACCACCGTGCATTGGTTTAGACTATAGCAGACAGTCTTTTTCTTATAACTAGTACCAAATTACAAATGTATTTCCAGTAACCAACTTAGGAAACAATTCAGAAAAGAGGAATCTAACATACCTTTACCAAAATACACTTATGTATCGGTTTGTAACACAACTGCACATCTGCAATAAGAAGTCAGTGGTTCCTAGTCTTGGAGCAGAAACCTCCTAAGAAGTGCCAAGATAGGTCACAAGAAGATTAAAGTGAGTATCTTTACAAAGTTTTTCACTTCTGTTACAACATCTGTTGTAGAAAATTACTGAAGCTTTTTCAAAACTAAACCCCATGCTGTTGAGGTGTTTTCACAGATTTATGTCTTTTGTAGAGATAATATGATTTATGTAAACAACATGACAGCTCCCTAGAAGTGAAGCCAAAATATGTCCAAAATGGTTGCTGCCATCTTGTGCCACTGGACACTAGTGACTGGGAGGTGGATACATTGATGCTCAGCTATTTGGGAAAAAGTAAAATTTAGTTAGCTAGCAAGAAATCTGGTAGTAAGTAATCATGCTAATCTATCTGTATTCCATGATGATTATTTGGCGATATTCAAGGAGTGTGTGTGCAACTTTGAGCATGGCAAGACCTCGATACCACGATTCCCCAAGTCTCTACTGTAAAGACTTCTGTTGAAAATGACTTTATCAGTGCAAGATGACAGCATGCATTTGTGAGATGTTTTGATCTCTGACTGAATGAGGGCTCCCAAAAATGTGGTTGGAGTTAAGAGTCACCAGTGGGCTTAGGAAGGTGCATGAGATTTGTTTCTAGTGGAAAAAAAAACAAAAAACAGAAACATTCAGTTGTGTCACACATGAGAATACAAAAATTATTAGCAGAAAAATCTCAGTAAACAGTAAACAGCTGCTCAGTTTATCACCAAACAACTAGCTTTGTGACACGAAATCACTTTTGGGAGTCAACATGAAAATGATATATTCACAAAATATCTAACCTTGACTACTTCTTTGCATATCATTTTTACACATATTACTTTCACAGTTTCACAGTTTAACTTTGTATTCTACAAAAAAGTAGAAGGAAACCATTTTTGTCAAAGGGCATTCATCCATGTACAGTTCCTTTTTTTTGGAAGTATTTGCTCAATAAAACAGATTATCTTTTGTAATTTAAAATCAGGAAAAATTACGGAAGCCGAGAGCGGTCGTTTTCCGCTACTGTTCTTTCTTCGCCGTTTTCTTGAGATAACGAGTTTAATTTTCTCGTTATCTCGGGATAACAAGAATCGTTTTCTCGTGAAAACGAGATAATTGGTGTTTGTGTTTGCCCGCTCGTGCCCGGTCCAGGATGGAATCCCAGGTGTGTGGGACCTCCCACACACCTGGGATTCCATCCTCGGTCACCAGCGGGGGTCCGGAGGACAGACGAGACCGGGCACGAGCGCTTCATTGTAAGTTGTCGTGCCCGGTCAGCTGTTCTCATGACACGTCATGTCGGAGTTCCCGGTCAGCTGTTCTCATGACACGTCATGTCGGAGTTCCCGGTCAGCTGTCTATAAGATACGTCACACCAGGACGTCCGACAACTTCTGATGAAAGCTGAAGTGACAGCCGAAACTGTCAACGAGATAATTAACTCGTTATCTCGGGACAACGAACGCCGTTTTCTCGAGATAACGAGATAATTATCCCGTTATCTCGAGAAAATGCCGTTTAAAAAAATGTGCGGCCATGACCGCTCTCGGCTTCCGTAAAAAATGACACCGGGGTTTAGAAAATTCTATCTACTTCAAGGTCAAGAAGTAATGCTATACACTGAGGACTTGTAAAGTGCTGAACACAGACAAGTGTTAATATAAAAATGGACTAGCTGTGGTCTGACCAGTGATGCACAGCAACACTATGTATAACACAGATAATCCAGGTATACGGAGAGGCAATGGTGTAGTTGTAGAAGAAGTGCTCATCGACATGGAAGTGTAGCGGTTGTGTACTCTCTTCTGCGTTGTGAAACATTAAAAACTCAAACCTCTTGTCTTTTGGTTCCAACCAGCCATTTATTTTCCCAACTTCTGGACACACATGGAGACGGGACACACCGCAGACTGGCAAAAAGTCACGCGGGCTCACCCCTCAAGTCTGCAGGGGCCCAGCAGCGGGCGTCAACATTACATCCCGTCCCAGTGGGGAAACCAATACATTACAACATTACAAATAAAGCAAACAATTGTATCATGGAAAAGAGATGGCAAGTGGAATCTTTAACTCCACTACAGAAGCTATCGGTGTTGATGGGTCGATCCTCCAGGATCTGAGCTGATATAACCAACTTAAACTTAAGACCAGCACATTTTCCACAGTTTATTTAATCTATACACTGCTTAATCCTCACTAGGGTCGCTGGGGTTGGAGTCTATCCCAGCTGACTTAGGGCGAAGGCAGGGGACACCCTGGACAGGTCACCAGTCTATCACAGGGCTACACTTAGAGAGAGACAACCAAGCACACTCACATTCACACCTACGGACAATTTAGAATCACTAATTAACCTCAACATGTTTTTGGACTGTGTGGGAGGAAGCCGGAGAACCTGGAGAGAACCCACACTGCACACTCCACGCAGAAAGATCCCGGTGCCCCCACTGGCGACCTTCTAGCTGCGAGGCAACAGTGCTACCAACTGCGCCACCTTGCAGCCCCCCACAATTTAGTGCCAGTCCTAATCAGGAAAACCCCATAACTGTAAATGTGCCATCTCTTGCCCTTCTACAAACAGCTGATGGACTTTAACACAACTTCTCAAGGCCCAGGTTGAACTGAAAACATAAAAGACAACTGCATTCTAAGCTACTCAGGAGCAGGTTATGTTCCTGTATTAAAACATTCCCTACCAACTAATCAATTCTCTTGGAAAATAGCATCCCAGAAGATGTAACCAGTGCTTAGT